CTTCTCAGCAGTATGGATCAAGTGCCTTTTTTATTGCCTTTCACTCATGTTGCTTCAACCTGGACATGTTCAGGCTAAATGATGCTAGATGTACAAGATCTCATTTTTCAGGAAACAACCTTTGAAGCTTCGAGGCCATCGCTAGTAGGTCGGAGGCCATTGCTAGTAGGTTGTGAGCACATTCATCCAGTTGGTCCAGCACTTCGCTGGCGCGGGCACAGGGCCACTCGTCTTTGGTCGAGGTCTGACCCCCGCCCAGTCGGCCGAATCTCATTCCGCCCAGTCGGCCGTGTGGGGCACCGGTCGGGCGGGTTGAAAGACCGCCGTTTGGCACATCGGTTGGACTTCCAACGTGGACGGTCGGGTGGGGGCATCCCAGAAGGAGACTCGTCAACTGGGCGAAAGGAATGACTCGTCAACTGGGTGAAAAGTTGCACATCTGAAACAAGTGTGTTTTCCACAACACTAATGAAAGCACCCTGAGTGACGTATACTATATATTAATTATATGGTTTTGTTGGACAACATCATCTCACCTCCGCACCTGCCGTGCTGATGTTGGTCCCCTCATCTGTGCTTCATCCAATTGAATTCAAGTTGTGCCAAGTCAAGTGACAATTGCATGTTACAGGAAGCATGTTTCAGACAAACGCGAGGTTTGATTTCGGCAGGCTGGGGCTATCTGAGAAACGTTGTCTTTCGACATATGTTTCTTGTGCGGCTCTCTTGCTGAGGATAACATTCGGAAAATGTCCTTTTGTATATATATACACACTGTCACACTGTATAATACGTATATATATATATGTATAGAACAAACCACATCCCAGGACCCCTATAAATGGTCCCACATCCTGGATGTCTTGTGATTAGAAGCTGCCCAAGTCACCGGAATCTCCCGACCGTACATTGGACGTCGCTTCGCTCGAAATGCACCGACACCGACTCATGGAATGGTCATCTGCGACCTGGGCAACAGTGAAAACGCATACCTTTTTGTGGACTGCGACTTGATTTCAGCTAGTAACCCTCGTGCAACCCGGGTGGATTGGTCATTGAAGGGCCTCGGACATGTGGGCAAGAGAGACTTGATTGTGTACTTTGTCAGAACTGAACAAATGTGGGTGTGCATTACAGTAGATCAAACTGCGACCAAACCCCCCGTTGGGCCACGAGGTCTTTCTGTTTAAATACACACCCAGATGTTTATCCAATCTTCTATCTTAAACAACATGGCGATCATCTGATATTAAACCACCACCAGAGAGAGAGAGAGGGGAGGGGGAGAGGAAGAAAAAGACGGAGAGAGAGAGAGAGAGAGGGATAGAGAGAGAGAGAGAGAAACAGCTTTTGGTTAGGTTTAGAGCGATTAGACCCTTGCCTTCTTTGGGGTCTAGGTCTCAGTACGAAACGGATCAGGGGGAGCGTGTTCCAACCTTAGAGAACAAATGTGCAAGGGAATTTGTAACTGGGAACAGCTGAGTATGTGAAACATGCTTTGTTCTTTCTGAATTCTTAGACTTCCTCCATCCACCTACGACAAGTACCCGCCCAACTGGCTATCAAAAGCGCTCGTCATATCTACTACACATCAAGCCACGAAAGAACCATTCAAAGAGACGATAAAGCAAATCTGGAAAGAATAACTCCTTATCCTTTCATAAAGTCCCTCATTCTTGAAGTCAACCATATGGAGCAGCAAACACCTTGGACCACCGACGGCTGAGGCTCCTGCTGTGCACCACTGAGACAATGTGTGCAACGCACGGTGGGGCGTCGCACGGAGCTACGGCGCTTTGACTGGCTCTCGGCTCTAGCTGATTGAGTGAAAAAACTGAAACCACGTCACGTAGTGTAAAATGTTTGGGAATCTGACAACTATAACATAAATATACCCACTGCACCCACTGAAGGTTTAACCGCCTGAGTAGAACGTCTAGGCTGCACAAGCAACTAGGAACGGGCATCTTGGGTCATGTTCCCTGGAGACAAACAACCGACATGCGAGTGTTCAGGAAAAGGACTGAATGCCAAATATAGAGCATGGGAGATGTGGTGATGATATGTTATGATGATCCTTCGTGGGTTTCTTAGGAAATCCCAATGCGAAAGTCTTGAGGGTCTAAGAGATCAAACAACAGCAGCATGCATAGGTTCCAAAAGAATCCAAGGGATCCTACAGCACAAACAGCCCAGCATATGGTTAATGGTTATTCGTTAAAGTTGATGCTGCTGAGTTTACAGCCAGGATTTAGGAGAGCCAGTCCAGTGTCTACCCTTCAAAAAAAATGTCCCAAGGGTAGGGAGTTTCAATCACTGTGATCCTCACGAGCTTGGATTCCACGTTCACACAAAGCAAAAACCGCCGAGTCTTTGTTGACATGCATACTAAGTTACTATGGTCAAGCATCTGGGGGTGTTTAAACAGCAGCAACCCCCTTCCAAGGTGGAGCCGCTGCTGTCACACTTCGCGCCAACATCCCTATCCCTCTCCGACATCCCGATGCGCGCCGCCGCCGCGATCGGCACGCCGAGCTGCTGAGGACGACCGATGCAAAACAAGAACCGTCCAAGGAATCCGGTGTGTGTGTGTGTGAGCAAAAACGCTACTAGGGGCTCCTGGCATCGCTACTAGGAGCAAAGAAGCTACTAGGGGCTCCTGGCCGTCTAGGAGCAAGAATGCTACTAGTAATTGGACGATGGGACTAAAAGAACAGAAAAAGCACACGCCATGGCCACCAAGGCTTCACGAGAGTGTTCCGACAACCTGATGAATCCTACAAAAAAAACGGGGTCCCCAAAAACGTGGCTGCCTCGGGGTCATCTGCAGCACTGGCACTCTCTTCAATGCAATCTGCATGACGTTTCCACAATGTGCGTTGCACTGTTGATGGACCTATTCCCGGTCACTGTCAATTCTCCACAAACCTATTGAGGGTTCATGTAGTTCTTGTCCACTTTGGTAGCCAGTTTAGGTATTTGAATGCATTTTGATGGGTATGTTGAGATAGCTGGGTCTTCTGATGGTCTTCCGTGGCTCTTGCTCATCACAAACGCTTTGTCTGCGAGCATAGTACATTGGTACAGATCAAAAGAACAACAACATGCAGCTGCTGGACGCAAAAGAGAAAAGGAGTCTATAAGGATTCCAATCATCCTGGTTACAAAGAAACCATTCGTACCCTGGGTCGTTCGCAGCAGGATTAAAAACTCTATCTGTCAGCCACCGCACGGCCCTGCACAGCATGTTCTCCCTGGAAGGAGCATCCCAAGAGATTGAAGATTTTGAACATGAATCCCTACTGCTTTGCTAGTGGAAGGTGGAAGGTGGAAGGTGTATCAGGTGGCGTTGGCCCACCAGCACGTGCTTCTTGGAACCATTCCCAAATGAATCCCAACTAACCTGGAATACCAACACCTCCTTTTCCCTTTGTGGCAAACAATGGATCCTTGACAGGCATCGGTAATTGCATGTGTGGACCAGTGTGGAAGGGCTTGAAAGGATGAAACTAGCCGCACTATCGTGGGTAGCACCGTTGGATGAAACTTGACCTGGTCCACATCAGCGTTTCTTCTGGTCTTGAATTCTCAACATTCACCTATGGTCCACCGAAGAAGTTCAACAAACACTTGAACAAACAGGTCCATGCTGTCCATGCATGTCACTTTGTGGCTTGGGTCCGGCTGCCGGGACCCCGTGGCCCACCTGGCTGAGGCGTGTGAAGGTGCCCGACGCAACGGTGGAGTGCTTTGAAGTTGATCTGGTGGGACATGCTTGGGTTCCAAACTCACAGCTGTTTTTTTTGATCCTAACAAATCCTAACTAACTACAGTATTTACCTCACTCCTCTGCCGCTCATGACTGACTGATGCTGTTGGTAGTTTAATCTGGAATCTAGTGGTAGTGCTGTGGAGCTTATCTAAAGGGAGTTTAAGACCTACGAGAACCTTGTCCTAAAAATAGAAACTGCGCATGAGTTTGTTGTCTTTGAGTTCATGTTGTCCAATGTACATGTTGCTTTGTTGCTTTTGATTTTGGTATTTACCTATACCTTACATATATGACCATGACCATGATTTTATATGTCGCTCCTTGGCAAAGAGCGCGTCTAGCCCTAACCAATTTACACTATATAGTTATCTCTCCAGATGTTGCCCGAAATCACAATAAGCCCAATCAAAATATGCCATATCGTTCGGAATTGCTCTCAGAGAGCTCATGCGGAGGGGGCTTTCCTCCAAGTCCTCAAGTCCTCATACAAGTGTGTGACGGTTTGAGTCGAACAGGTACGGATCTATTCGGATGCTAAGGAGTTTGTTCCCATCCACATGGAACTTCTAAGTCCCCGGTTTGCCTGCGTCTGTTGAGGGGACGGAGGCGGGCTTACTCGGGTCAGGGTCCGCAAAAATGTGTTCCTTTGCTCAAACTATTTCCTGCTCTGACATGCTCGGACTATTATATACTCCCCAAATCTTTGGCAAAAACATCCCGGATGTCCAAAGCACTCCCATCAACATCCAGAAAAAGACAATACCGAAAGACCGTCCAAAGAAAAGCATCCGGGCTGGTCATTCTTGGTGCACCCCTTTTCAAGTGCAGAAACCACAATTCACCGGATCTGCACCGCCTCTGCATCCCAGTCACCAACCTTCCCACCTTTGGTCCGGGATGCCGGACCGGAAAAAGGCGAAATCGGATCTATAGCAGCCCCAGCTCCGCTTCCAAGCTGGCATCGTCGAAGCAGCGGATCACCTCACGGCTGTAGGCTTAACAACACGTCTGCTGTGAGGGTGGAGGTTCAGCATGCAAAGCGAAGGGCATGAAAAGAATGGACAAGTAGGTACATCTAGATCTCAAATTCAAAGCATGAACATAGAATAAATGATTCTGCTATAATATGCTATATATTGCCATATTATATATCTGGACAGCTATATTTCTGGACAAACATGTCAGCTGTGAGACACGCCAACTGACTCTCTGTCCGCAGCTCCCTTTTGCAGCACCCAGCTCCTGTGGTTTGAGGAGTGAGGAATTACCTGCACGCCCTGAAAGAAGTTTCAAACTCACTGCTGATGGCACCTGATTGATGGACAGAAGGTGCACCAAAAAGAAAGGTTGTTTGAGTGAAAACATGTCAGTGCTAACTAACGGCACTGGCATTCTGCAAAATGATAATTATATATTTGTCAGGCGTTGTAACTATGTGGGACAGGAAGCCCATGATTTGGGCTAGAAGGGATTGGAGTCTTTCGTCACAGGAAAAGTACACATCAGTACCCGACAATTCACAATACACATATCCCACCATTGTCAACTCAATGATTTACGAATGAACCCTTTTGGCCGGTGAAAAAGAAAGACATGCTCACATCATCCAACAAATCATGCTCCCTCGTTTGACTCGGTGTTAGCATGGCTGAGTCTTAATCCCGATGTTTGCCTTTGACCAGCTGGAGACGATGTTTCGTCTGGGCACCAAGGCTGGAGACGACCACATCTTCGGCAAGCTCCAGACCCCTCGCCGCTCCGGCACGGCCATGGCGGTGCTTGGCAGCGGAGGCCAATGCACGGAGGACGAACATGAAGTCTTGGAGGTTGTTCCAGTACTCCTGATGTGAGGCAAGGACAATGTGAGGATTTTGCTAAGAACCCTGGCCCAATTTGGCTCTGAGTGGCACCACCTATTTTTTATGGGCTGGGCTCACCATGGACCTGCCCCCCAATCCTATGTAATCCATCTACCAGGTCTCCAGGATTGGGTGAATCAAAAAAAAGAAACCGGTGCTTGGCAAGTGGATTTGTTCCGTCTGTGGAATCTGATTGTCTCTCACCAGTGCGCGCCCTTGACCATGCCGATAGAAGTCCAGCAAATACGCATTCAGTGGTTGTTCCACATCCACGTCCACGGAGGGAAACATCTCGGGTCTCAAGAATAGGTCCTCCCGTGCAGTATGACAAAGCTCAGTGAAGCTTGCGAAGCTATCACCATGACCAGACAAGGCTGCAAAGGGAGAACGCAAGGCAGGCGATGATGCGCTGGCAGCGCCAGAGGGGCATGGGCGTTGTTTGGTAAGAGGGAGAGTATCATCAGACGGGTGCAATTTCTGAACCATGACCTGAAGATGCACAACAGCAGCGTGAAGCATTTCTTGAGAGTGACATCGCAATACGGATTGAAGCTTGGCAGGCAGTGGTGGCAAGACCACCATGGAAGTTTTGGACCTCTTTTTCAGCCTCTCCTGTCGACGAGCCAGCCACCCTTCCAGAGGCCGCCGACTGAAGAAGTGGCAAAGGACAGCCACTAAGTCCTCTCTTGGGCCCTCACAGAGTTCCTTCAGCAAGCCACCCTCATGCAGAAGGGTCACCAAGGCAAAGTTCCCGGGCTCCTGCCACCAGACATGGGCCACAAAGCCCGCAAAGTCTGTAGCTTGTCCTCCAGAATCCAAGAGGCCGTCACGGAAGAGTTGCTGCATGAAGAAGCCAAACATATTGGCCTGGGTTGACTGGTCAAGACATCTCCAATCCTTCATGACGCCAGAAACTCATGGAAACGTGTCCGTGGTTTTCGGACCAAAACACATGTTCACTGCTCGTCTCATGTCATAAGGTTTGTCATGTTCATGTTTTCCTGGATGTTTCCCAAAAACTTGGGTGCCCAGTGGCTCTTTGCTGTTGAATGCTCTCCGATGGGCAAAACAACGGCCGCAAGAGCCGACTCACACTCCGTGCCACTTGGTTGGAAGCCGTCTTAATGGTTTGTGCTTTGATGGCCAAACGCAAGGCTAAAGAGGCTGTGAGGGTGTTGTTGCCTTGGCCCAATCAGGGGTGTAAGCTCAAAGCACAAGCGTACTGGTGGAGTTGGACCATGAAACAACATCCTGGAATACATGAGCACATGGCTATCATCACTGTCACCGAAAACAATTCCAAGAATGAGATGCTCAGTTCATTGAACTTCAGTCTTGATTGGCAACGCAAGGGATCCGAAATGGGGCGGTTCTTTGCCTTTAACATTCCCCCCACACAAACATCAGATCTTTGTCATCCAAGTTGCCCTGCATCACCGGAAGCTCTCCGATGAGCAAACTCTGAACCTTTTTGGCTGGCAGCCCAAAGAAGACCGTGTGGCCCCGAAGATCAAAGCCACGACGTCCTGCTCGCCCGGCTTCCTGCTGGAACTGCATGGAGGTCAAGTGGATGGACGAGCCTGCAAAAACCTCGCCAAGCGAAATCGTTGCGGCGACTCTGATGCAGAACGTATGGAGTGACGCACTGTCAAAAAAGGGATCGGTGTTGAGCCTCAAACCAAACTTGGTTGAACTACCTTACCTGGAAAGCGACCAGCAAAAAGAAGGACCAAGAAGAAAAGTTGAACAGCATATAAGCTTACACAACAAATGTTGAGAAACTGACGTCTTGGAAGGCATGTTGATACCCAAAGCCAGAGTGGAGGTGGACACGACAATGCCAAGCCGTTGCATTCGAAAGAGCCGTTCCACGGCCTGCCGGTAAGCAGCTGGCAAACCAGCATGATGCACGCCAATACCTGACACAGATTAGACAATATGAATCCAAACAAAATGAACTGGCCGAAAACGACTTAACCAAGAATACCCCAAGAACTTTAGCAACGTTCCCTATTGAAGGGATGTTGGAAAAGGACATTCAAGCAGGACGGAACCAGGATGCCACGCAAGAGCAAACGGTGCAGTGGAATCTCTTCCATGAAAGGGCTAAACTTGTCAAATTCATCTTCCAACTGCGAAACTGTAAGCAGTGTCTGTCCAGCGGGCGTCATGGTAAATTCTCGGCTAATCTGCTGGAGCAACCGAAGTGTCTCACCTGGAGTGCGGGGCAATGAGGCTGAGGCTGGTTGCCACCTTCATCAATCCTCAATTCACTGAACCAGCAAGTGGCCAAAGTATGAATACCCTCCATAAACTAACATGGATCCTGGCTGGGCCCGGGGAAGACCAGTTCTACTCTACAAACCAGTAGGTTTAAGAGTCCAATGTCACATGGACATATGCGGCTCAAGCCCTCGCCCTTTCATTGCGCGACCTGGACCTTTGACCTGAGCTGACCCAGGACTTCAACTCCCCTCTTTCTGCGCTACGCGGCGCTACATCAGCCGATACACCTAAAGTCTGATCTCTTTTTGACTGCGGTCTCTGTCATAGCATTTACTGCATCTACATCCTGGACGGTGCCCTCATTTTGGTCGATGACAACCAGGTTTCTGATCCTTGTGCCATACATCATACATTCTTGGGGGTCCCAAATCCCTCCCACTCAGCACTTCGCGACGTTGAAAAAGGTCAAGAAAAGTGGCCTTTTGATTAACACCCGCGCAACACTTGTCTTGAAGTCCGTGCGGAGAAAAACATTGAGGCGCACGTTAATCCAAAAGGGGCTAGATATTCATCCGCGACTCCACCAACGCAAGATTGACGGTTTTGACCCCTCCCAACCTAAATGTTCGGACTCCTTCAGTGCTGCATCCTCATGCGGCAGAACATTGTGCGCTGTGAGTTCTTCGCCAGCGTCCATAAGCCGCAAAACTCTGGCGAGGCGCTTCTCGAGTTCAGCAAGCTGCTTTTGGAGCCTTGCTTACCATCGTCAGACCCATACTCCAGTTTTTGAGCAAAGAACGCTTGTCAAGCCTACCATATAGGGCCTAGGGGTTCGTTTGATACTGATAATGTTAACCTATATATGCATGTGATAGTCAGTGTAGCGTCAAAACTGTAAGCCAAGATACATTTGAACTTTTTCGTTGATGCCATCTGCTTTGCGCTTCTCTTTTTCCCACTTCTCCAATTGCTTGCCGAGGGCCAAAGCCAAATATTCGCAGCCCTCCCGGGTACTGTGAAAACAAATAGCCGGCAACATGTCTGCAGCCCTCAACTCTTCAACCAAGGTATAAAAGCGGTTCCCCAAATACGCTTTTTCACCTTCATCCGTCAAGTCTGCGTCAACCTCTTGCAACGCACTATGTGCTCTCCCTGTGAGCTGTTGGACCACTTCAGCCTGCGTTGAACGCTCGGCATGATCAAAACGCTCGGCAACTGATGCTGCCCAGACTTGGGCCTCAGGCATGCTCAGATTCCAGCTTCCAGTGGGCAAAGATGAAAAATAGCTCCTTGGCAGCCCAGACAAAGGTAAAAAGGCCACCAACCATTCTTGGGAAAAATAACACAAAAGCTGGTCCCGTAGGAGGGAAGGGAAAATGATACATTTATGTACAGTACATTCTGGTTTAATATCTCCCAGTGGTAATCCTGCTTCAAATCTGCGGATAATGCTGGCTTTATTTGTTTTCCTTCGCTGCGTGTTCTAAGGTCGGGGCCAAACGCTGCAAACAAATATGTGGATAATACTGTGTGCTGTTGTGTACTCAGTTGGGGGTCATTCCCGCATTCCGTACACTGGTCGCACTAGAGAAAACATCCTTGAGCGAAGGATCTCTGGCGCTAGGTCCTCTAAGTGCTCACTGCGCTGGCTAAGGGCGTCGTAGAGTTGCAAAGCATCTTCCGGGATCAAACGAAGGGCCGTGGGTCGCACTTTCGCGATGAAGCCAGGACGTCGAAGGGCAAAGAAGGGATGAAGATGATGCAAGCTCTTCCCATCAAAGACCCAACTCTCCAAATCGTTGAAGCGGCTCTCATGTTTCACCAAGTGCAACTCACGACCACGTTCAGATTCCAAATGTCGTAGCCAGGAGATAAAGGCATCTGCCTGCCCCAAAGTCGCTGACAAGGCCAGGAGTGGACAGTCCAAGAGCGACAAAATCTGTTCCCAAACATCTCCAGCTTCACTTCCGAGGCAGTGCACCTCATCGATGATGGCATAGTACAATCTCTCCACCCACTCATGTGACTTCAAAGCGGGCGACAACAAGAAAATGACCAGGCACTGCGGAACTGTCACAAGGACCTGGCACTCCAAAAGCCGTGCACTTCGCTTGTCACGAGTGAAGATCCCGCAGAAGGGCCGCCCATCCTTGTAAGCCTTGCTGAAGCGGGCTTCAATCTCTGCATAGACTTGATTTGCCAATGCTTTCGTGGGGCAAACATACACCACCACTCCATCATCATTTAATCTCAGGACTTTCTCCATGACATAGAAGGCAATGAACGTTTTTCCGGACCCTGTAGGTGCTTGTACCAGCGCTGATTCCCCAGCATCGACCACGTCCAGCAGTTTCCCTTGCCACCTAAAAATTGTTCAAAGCATGGGAAGTGTTCCAGGAGAATGAAACCACAACAAATCCCCTTCAAGAAGGCAACCCTACACAGATGGGTTCTACCCTGCGTCCTTAATTGAAATTCTCCTCTCCAAGAAGATCCAAAGGGTATTCCTCTCTGATGCCGTTGGTAAGCTAGCTTATGTTCCGGAAAACAAGGAGAAACATAAGGGGGAAGGAAACACGCGTTAAGTGTACACAACATATGATGAGATGTGTATCAGTGTACAGTATACTGTGTGTCTGTGTCACATCCCAAGGAGTCCGTATACCCAACAGTACATTCATCTAGGAGAATAAACACAGTAAAGCTGCCATTGGCCAAATCCAAGTCACTCGTCGGGTTTGAAGCCTTGCACACGAGAATCGATCGAACCGATTGGTCGGGCCAAAGTGTCTGGAGATGTGCTCAGCTGGAAACGAAAAGGGCATGAGCTCATGGCGATGCCCTTGTCATGCTTGCGGTCGTTCACCCGACTCTCCTTTGAATTGCCCAGGACTGCAGCGAGAACCGGCATCTTCAAGTGTTTTTGAGCCATCTTCACCAGCTTCTCCTTGACTTCTTCCACGACATCAGGCCCACATGCTCGAAGAATCTCTTGCAGCGCGTTAAAACTCCTTTTCCGTTGAGATGGCTCTAGTGGCAAAGTCTCATCCAACTCTGGGCAAGCTTTGAGGCAAATCTTGGCCGCTTCAGTGCATGCTTCTTTATCTCCTGCAGCCGACCAAGCATGCAAGAGCTTTAATAGCTTCTCAACGTCCTGAACAACATGGAAGTCGAGTTGCATGGACAAAATTCATGCAGTGGTAGAACATGTGGCGAGTGTATTTACTCCCAACTCAAAAGTCTGCACAATTTTTTGTGACAACTTGAAACATGCTTTGGCCGTTCATGCATGTTCGTGTGACAGGATTGCACTGTTCTGCCTTACCACCTTTTGGTGGCCACACAAGGGGCGACAGGCAACAAAAGCATTCTGAGTGACTGCCGAAAACTGTGCAAAGTGTGAACATCCCAGCCCAAGCGTGCCCAATCCGAATCGTGGACCTGTCAGTGACGACCCAACGTTAACAGCACAAAAACAAATGCGCCCAAGCACGTGTGTAAACTGGTGAGTTCCGTTGTGGATAATGTACTTTGCAGTTGCTACGCAACTGTTTTGCTACGCAACTGCCTTGCCACGTGACAAAAAAGGACTCTGAACGTTCAAAGGTACATCGACCTCCCATATCCGTCTATATATGTATTCAAAAACAAAGCAGTTTGTGGGGTCGGGATCCTGAAATAATGCATAATATGTTCCTCGTTGCAGCGAAACGCACACTTTATGTTCTCCCCGGACAGTTTGCGGTCTCAACACTACAAATTACCAGGTATGTAGGTGAGAAACAGAGTCTAGCTAAAGGTTTACGACATCTTGAAGTTGTCCAAGTCATGAGAAAACCCACGGCCGTCTACACACTGTGGACCTTTTTCGTTTGTTGCACCACTGGTTCGATGGAAAGGTGTCCCACTGATTCGCGAAACGAGTTCACTGGCTCTCCACAAGGCTCAAGTAATGACATACTTATATACTTACCTGGATCTAGGGTGTGGAAAATGTTCTTTTGTTGTGTTGTCTTTCGACTTTCTTTTGTTGGAAGAATTGGGAACATCATCGGTATCATCACCGAATCACCGGTATCATAGCATGATCATCGGATTCACAACAAGATCACCGAATCAAGATCATCGGCGTTGTGGTCGCTGTGCAAAAGACACGAACCGTGCCACGCGACTCACCTCGGACCTCATTTTGGACAGGCTAAATGCACCAACTCATTTTTCCATAGCGAAACATATGGTTTCGAGCACATGGACATGCTTCATTCGCGCATGCCCAAAAATGATAACAACAGAATTACAAGCAGTTTGCATACATGCCTAACACAAATCTCATCATTGAGAGCCTTTACAATGACTCCACATGCGCGAACATAATTGAAATTTGTTGGCGCAAGTTGATGCCTAAGATGACCATTCGAACATCTGTGGGCAACCTTCTCACCCGTGGCCCTGCGAACGTACACTATCCAAGCTGAGCACAACCAATTGAACCCTTGGGAGAACCTCCCGTCCCTACCGTATCTCCAAAACGACTACAAATCAACACACAATCCCTTGGCCTGGTATGTGAGCCATGGAGCCGGACCTTTTCTCGTGCAATTCGAGATACACTCCAGAACAAGGACGCTACTAGTAGCTAAATGCATCGCTCCTAGAAACATGAAGCTACTAGTAGCAGTACTAGTAGCTCCTGGCATTACTACTAGGAACAAGAAGCTACTAGGTTGGAGGCCATCGCTACTAGGGCCTAGGGTGGAGGCCATCGCTTCCAAGGTTCCTTGGCTTTCTTTTCGCTCGCGAAAGTCTTCAATTGCTCCTGCAGTGTCGGAGAAGAATGCTCCATGGCCATTCAACAGAAACGTTGCATGCAATGCAAGGCATGAAATGCAAGTGGATACTATGTTTTGTGGCGTTGTGCAAGGAACTTTGCAATCTTCGGAACAAGGACGAGAGCAACAGCAAAGCACTCCTTCATACCCTTCACCTGCTCCAGGTTTTGCTTAAACAACTTCTTCTGTTGAAATGCCATGGCTTGTTGCTTCGCACGATCTGCGGATCGCTGCACAGCGGTCTTCGTCTTCGGGCTTTTGGAGCCTTTGGAGCCCTTGTCTTCCCCGACTTCGTCCTGGACAGGGCATGTCTTTTGCATAACGAGACGTGTCGTCGATGGACACATATCCTGCACCACACCTATAGAAAGAACGGGGGGGACAGGAAGGGAATGCTCCTTTTCACGAATGCTTAGAGTATATATCGACCCTGGGCCTTTCGCTTGAAACACGAAGTACGTTCACACCCTCCACGGACAATCCCCAAGTATTACAAGAGCATAGGAGGGGATCTTAAAATAACATTCACATGCTTTACGCTAAAAACATAGACGTGGATTTTGCAAACGTGGGTTGTTTTGCGCAAGTGTCAATTGGGAATTGCCTGCGGTATGTAGTGAAAAGTCTGAGCTCTCAAATGTAAAGACTCACCAAAGGAGATCCCACATGGATGATAATTACCAAAAAAGATCTATGTGCAAACCACATCCTTTACAATCTTTGAAGCATTGGCAAGAAGTAAAAGCACTGATAGGCCAATCTAGGTGTCTGCTTTGATGTTCTGCTTCGAAAGCCGTGCGAGGGCCGCAAGCTTCAATTCCTTCACGTGCAAAGGTGACAGCGGTTCGACGATCGTCTGGTGAGGAGCAGGGCTGCCTTGCAGCAAGGACTCACGCAGCTTCTGGTTCTTCATGGCTTCCCTTCCTTGCCTTTTTGCAACAGATCTCGAGGACACAGTTATGCTAAAGCCAAGCACCACAGGGAAGCTGCACACGCTTCCAAGCTGGTGCTTGAGGTCATCTTTACCTTGCACAGGCACATCCGCGCGCGTTGGGTCCGTGAACTCTTGAAGCTGAAAGCCGTTGTAGAGGAAGCGGATCGCATCGCTTTTCTTGGCCCCGCGGGCCAACTGCACAGTGCCATCCGGCTTAAGAACCTTAAGGACCTCCATTAGCTGTGATTGATTGCAAATGCGAAGCTTTCTGATGGAAGACAGGTCTTTGGCCAGTAGGAAGGCATCCTTGGAGTTGCTTCGCGAACGAATGCGAAGCTGAGAGGAAAAAACATGATGAAACACTACAAACAGTCTACCTCATTCCAACTTTCTCTCAAAACTATCACAATCAAAGCTCGGTTCCCCTACAATGTTACTTGAGCTAAAGATGGATACCCTGGAAGACAAAAGTAAATCAAAGCCTGCAACCTACACAGGACCGGTCTTCTGGCTCGCTGGCATCCAGTGGCATGCAGCTGTGGTAATGATGGGCCTGATAGGGCCTTGGAATCTCCAAGAAATGCTCACCTGAGCAAAGCATTTCTTCCGCATCAGTCAACAACCCGGTGCAAACTGGTGCCCCAAGCTGTGGACTGCGACATGATGTATGTAATATATATATACATACATCGACAAGACATATGCTGAGTACATATACTGTATACATATATATATATATATTTACATTATGTTATATTATGTTATATTATATTGTATTGTATTATATTATATTATATTAGACTATATTAGATTATACTATATATATGTGTGTTTGTTGGATAGAAACCATATATCATATATATATATATATTATATTTTTTTGGAAACATATATCATATATATATATGTATTAAATATATACTATATATGCCTATCTCATGTCGCAGTTTGCAAGCCGGATCTAGAGTCAGCTGTGGCCCGCCTTTCATCCCAATGCTCGCCAACCATGGGAGATCCTGCTTCAGCGAGCTCGAGCCCTCCTCACCTCGGTTGGGAGACGAATTGGACGACGCCACACGGGCCCTGGGCATGGTCTGGGCCAGGGCGGCCCTGAAATCTCTCCAAGTGTGAGCAATGCGCCTGGATGGAGGCGCTAGTTGGAGAACGCTGCTCAATTTGAAAGGTCGAGAAAATAATGCAAAGACACACCTTTTGGGGAAAACAGTTCAACAAGTTAGCGTGGAAGCCCAAGATTTGCCCAGCCAAAAAACATGCTCAAGGAACCGCCTGGGTCTCTATCCTACGCCGCAAGGATCTATATACTCAATCCAGAAGAGAACATCTCACCACTCAAAAGAAATAACATCATGAGATTGACTCTCCAGGACACTTTGGTGACTTTTGTGCCCCTTCGCAACACCCTCAGTCTGGCTCACAACGTCCTCAGTCTGCCCGTCTCGCCCGACGCAACGCGCCAAGCCCTGCAGCATCTCTGCGAGGCTCGGCAGGTTGGGCACGATCTGACGCCATAGGGAGTCTGCCAGCTCCCAGGCAGGAAAGGCAGTTGGCGAGGCCTTGCTGGCCTCGAAGGGTCAGCTAGCTGATGGCATGCGTGAGCAAAAATACACAGCCCAAGAGAGATCAGGAACATTGGAAAATACACGACATTCACCCATGCTGAACCATCCACTCATGTTGAGCCCTTATCAATTTGGCCCTCCCCACCAGGGTCTTCAAGGTCAGAAAGTGTAAAAGTCGACCATCGAAAATGTCTGCCAGTGTGACGTCGAATTCTCTGGGCCGCGCCGCTTGGGCAGTGAGCAACGACTGCAGCAGGCAATTCTGCAGCTTGTTGACGAAGACTTGCATCTTCAGCTCTGGTGGAAGTGGCTCCATTTTTTCGGAGATTCCCCGTGAGGCCAATGGGGTTGTTTCCATGCATGCAAGACATATACAAAACACCCCGCATAAACCCATCACCGAGCCTTCTTGGTCAGACGGTGAAAGATTCCTGAGTGCCACAAGGCCAACGGTCAGCCTCAGTGAAGTGGCTACTCCGACCTCGGGACGTTCTTCAGCCACGATCACTTCAGTTTTCTCTTTTGGCCACGGGAGGCGGCCGACGAATGCCGGAACTGGCGGTTCCTGGGGAGATCGAAGTTCAAGCAGCTGGCACGAAATCCGAGGCCCGTCGGTCTTGAGGCCCTCGAAATCGACCACGTTCATGTCGTTGCAACGGAGCCAATGAACAAAGGCACCAGATCGCACTGAATGAAATACATAAGATGCATCCATTTGAATGTCTTCAACCCCGAGGTTCGGCATACCACGACCAAAGTCTGTTAAGACACAAGAAGGATCTGTATCCTCAAAGAGCTGCAACAAGGCACCTCGACCTTTGCTGCGCCACGATCCCTCGAAAAAATGGTGCTGAACTGCCGCATGACCAGCCCTCCGGAAGTGCTCGGACACCAACAGCCAGAGCAAACGCTGTCGCTGTGGCAGGCAGTGCATATGATCAGCGAAGAAAAACAAATGAAGTTTCACACCTGTCATGGGTCAAAAGTCTACTTACTTGAAGCACTCCTCCTCACAGAAGTGAAGTTGATAGCCAGTAGATGATTAGTAAAAGCACCGTCTGAAACAGAAGTAATATGAAGCAATATTATATTCCAAAACTAGTTGTTGTTTAAACAAACTGAATATATACTGTATATATATAATAACAATAAGAATAATAATAATAATAGAAACTAGAACTAATAAGCGTTGCAAACGACAGTCCAGCATGATCCAGCTATATGCCCATAATGATGTTGTCTCAGCATCAACTTCAAAGACTCAAAAAAACAGGTCGGTTGACAGAGATAACTACCCAATTTTACAGTCTTGGTCCTGCGATGCCCTGCGAAAACCTCTTCACACCTGGATGAATAAAAACGGGGTGTCTGATTTGAAAAAATGACGGTGATCAAAAAGGAAAAATAAAGGGATCAACAAATTATGTCCAATGAGCAATGAAAGTAAAAGGTTACTATAGGGAAGGGACAACAGTAGCAGGGCGGGCGACCAGGGGACCATGAAAGGACGTTTGGATTACACAAGTTAAAAAACTTAGGCGAAGGCGTGCGATATTCGGTGTGGATATGCGACAGGTGACGGGGTAATCTTTAAAAAGTCTGTCGTGGCAGGCCCAGTGCATTGGCCAAAGTAGTGCAGATTTCGTGGTGCGGTGGGGTGGCACAAATTTCAAAAGCCGCCAGACGCTGAAGGCGCCACCAAGTACATCATCATCGAAAATTACAACCCCTAGTGCCCCATCAATGAGGGCCTCATCCACCACAGGACAATGAAAGGATGCTTGCAACCGCTTGCAACACAAAAGCAAAATTAAAAGGACTTAGACGAGTGCGTGCATTTTTTGTGTGAGCGATGGGTATCCGGGTGACGCATTGGCAAAGCATTGCAGATTTTCTGGCGCTGGAGGGGGGTTGGGGGGAGAAGCAGCGCCTCCTCCCCAGAGCGAACCAAACATAAAAAACCATCAGACTCAGAAGGCACCACAAAATAGATCACCATCGAAAACTTCACACCCCATTGTCTCATCAATGAGGGGCACTCAGAAAGTGACCCAAGGACCAAGGCAACCGGGTAGCGGTTTGTTTTCGTGTTTTTGACCACTATTGACCAATGGACCACGAGGCCAGCAGACCAGGACAAGGACCAGGAAAGGGACCAGGGGACCAGCGGACTAGGGCACCAAAGGACCAGGGGACCAATGGACTAGGGGACCTACTCAGGATTACAGAGTATTTTTGATCCATCATGTTTATGTTCTTTTGATCTAAAAGGAACTAATGCAAGATAATGCAAGCATGCAAGGATTCCCCGTTCTGTTGGAAAGGACCCTTTCACAGCATCCTTCGGCCCTTCATCGTTGTCACCGTGTTTGATCACGGTGTCGCCGCTCGAACCGCTCGCCCGCCGAAGGGGCACCTCGCACGACCAGTCCGGCCAAAATCTTCTCGGCGGAGTAGATGCACTGCAGCAGCTGCCCTCCATAGTTCCAATCACAGTAGAGATCCCAACCCACTTCTCGACAGAGCGCGTCACCATCCACGAGCCTCAAGGGTGGCTTCATTTGCGGGGTTCTCTAATATGGTCATCTTGAAGTCCTGGAGTGTGAAAAAGTCGTCGTTCTCTTCTCATTAACTTTGTTGACTGCGTATGTCTTGGTAGAACGTCCCACAGCGAAGCACTTTGTTACTTGCAAAAAGCGTCCCAAAGACACCAGAAATGCTCTTCAGCTCCAAGAAAGCTGTTGCTCTCTTTTCAGAGAGACTTCTCCAACTACTTCTCCACTCTGAACTCTGTGGACCGATTGCATGGAAAATAGCAGCGGCATCCATTTCCACACTAGGACCCACAAGGGATGGTTCATGGACAACCCTTAACTTCTAAAGGGCTTTTGATAGACACCCCTTAAAGGGCCTTGGTTACTGGGTCTCTTTGTTCCCCAACGGACCCAAGTGCGGACCCGCCGACCGCGGACTCTTCACGTCCACCGCGGACCCACCGAGTCGCATGGGGGCTGAAGTGCCCAAAGTGCTCACCAGGTCGATGGTGCTGTTCAGTAGGGCCCGATCCAGGTCTTTCAGGTACTGGACACTCCACCTGTGCAAATCGGATGTGAACTGAAAAGACTCCTGGTCGTTTGGGCATTCCTGAAAGCCCTTGTAAAGGTTGTCACTATGTGTCACTTGCAGATCAACATCAGGTGATTTAATGTGTGATGTTGTTTGCTCTTGGGCGTTATCGAACATGCAATGAAACAAAGACAGTATTCCGCCGCCTTCTTGTCTTCAATGTCGGTCATGATTAGCTCCACCAAGTGAATGGCACTGGTTACTCACCATTTCGGGCATTTCATGGATATCTATGCTGAAACGTTTCCTTAAGAGAATGTTCAACACAGGCCCAGCCCGCCGGTGGCCCACCTCTGAAACTTGGCCATTCTTTCCAGAAAGGCCATGTCCTTCTGCTGCATGGCCTCGATCTCAGCCTCAATGACCTCATTTGGCTCCAAAGCCTCAGCCTTAGTGGACTCGGCGCTGGAGACTTCATCGCCGCTGCCGCTGGCGCTGGAGACTTCGTCTTCCTCCATGTCCACCGCGTCAGATCGACACGCAGCGACTCTTCCAGGTGTCGGAAAAATCTGTGGAAAAAACAAGGACCATCCATGAGCAACATCAGTTTCACTGACTGCGCAAATAACGACCTTAAAAGACCTCAGACAGCTGCAACCTTTCTATCATGTCTAAGACATTCTAAGACTGTCTATCGGCTTCATTCAACGGGATTCGGCTCGGCCACCAGGTTTTTTGGGGCCGTGAGCCTGGAAAACGCAGCGGATGCCTCGATGACTCGTGCAAGGATAGGATCTGACACGGCCTCCAACCTAAGAGCGATGGAATCCAAATGGCCTCCTATGTTGCTTCTAGCAGCTTCTTGTTACTAGTAGTGATGCCAGGAGCCCCTAGTAGCGTCCTTGTTCCTAGTAGCGGTGCCCTTTGCTCCTATAGTAGCTTCTTGCTAAATCAGAAGCGCAAAGGTCTCAGAAGGGTGCGCGTGCGCATCCCCTTGCCTGGAGCATGACCCGTGCCGCTGCTGCCAGGGCATCCTCCTGGATCCAGGCAAACGAAACCGGAACTATTTCAAGAAGGTTCGCTTAATGCTTCCCAAGAAGGTTCACTTAATCAGTTCACTCGATGCGAAACTATTATTCAGAACTAAAGAGCACTTCCAGTGTTCAAGTAAACATTGTACTTTCAAGTGCTAATTAGTTGTGTGATGATGTTCAGTACTCTAATTGGACCCTGCCTGAGTTTGATCATCCTCGGCTATTTACCCGGTCCGCCGATTGGAGTGATCTCGACAGCGACACGGTTCATTCGGCTGTCCAAGAAGGATTCACCACCTGGTTGTCGGTTGGTCCCAGCCCTAAAATTACCAAGCTAGTAGTACGAAGCGCATCGCTATTAGGAACAGGTGCATCGCTACTAGTAGCAAGGTGCATCGCTACTACGAGTAGTAGCAATCAGTCACCCATCCCATTGACCCATTGGGGCCAAAACAAGGGACCCGTCCTCTGTGATATCTCGGCCCTCCTGTCAGAAGCAAACCGAGAATCAAAGAGAACATATCAGCTGGATGATTCATCCAAGGCCGGAACTGTCCAGCTGTGGCATCCAAATCCAGAAAACCGTTTATGTATCACAAACTATTTTGTGCATGCATATACAAAACACCGTAGGAATGTCGACCTAGTTCTGGGCAAGGATGGCAGGGTATGTTCTTTCATGAGGGCTATCGTCTTTTGAAGGGTGGCCTATCGCTTTTTTTCAGTCTCCAGCACACGTGCAACATAGCTGAGAATATTTAAAACACTGAGGCGGCATGGTTTTTTGTTTTTGAGGCAGGCCTATTGTTTGCTGGTTTCAGCAACATTCCTGATAATTGCCACCGCTCTAAGAGCGTCCGCTCTTTCTAAATTGGTCATCGCACGTTTTGGCGGTTGGTAACAGAATATTTAAGGATACTGATATTAGAAGGATAGGTTTCAAAAATCATCATCATTCCACGCAATCCTCAACAGGGAGGATCATTCCACATCAATCAAGGAAACATGAAAAGTAAGAGTAAGGTCTTGTTCATCCTCGCGTACAAGAACTATATATGTCCTTCAGCGATGATCCGATGATTTGACCAGGCCGTTGGAAGTCTCGAGCCCTTTCCATCGTGTCTCCCGGTCCAAAATGGAAGATATGTGGACCGCATGTGGACCGCGCCGTTCTTTCGGGTGAGCGGTCCAATATGGGGCACGTCTACTTCTATACTTCACCGTTGGAAGAGGTCGGTACTGATCGACTCGGCTCGGCTACAACCTGATCGACTCAACTCTGAGAGCCACCGGAACTCCTTCCACCGATAGCTCTCTGGCGCGTGTTTCGTTTTGCACTCTGCGCAGCGCCTCCAGTTCCTCCTCCGTCCAGCTCCGCAACGGTGCCACCTCTGCACGTGCCTGGACGATACAAAAGAAGTCGGGAGAGATGTTCACAGTCACCCATGAGGTTGGGGAGATTCCTGGGTTGGTTATGGTTGGTTGGGTGGGAGGCAGGGAAGTAGGGAGATAGGTAGCGTAGCTTTATCTTTGCCCATTAGGGTGGGGTTCTACTCACAGATAATGCTTGCCTCGAGGATTGCTGTCTCCAAACTTCGCAGGATTCCAAGCGTTTCCACCAAAACATATCTGTCTCCAAGCGTTTTCCTATCTTCAGAGTTGGAGGCTTCAGTCTCCTTCACCACCAGTTGGAGTCATCGTTCGTCTATCGCCGACAAACACAACTGTGTCTGTGTCCCATCCACCTGTATGAAGACTTAGTCCATCATGGTCCATGGACGGGCTCACTTGGTCCAACACACTTCACGCTTGGTCCATGAATTGATGGAACTCAGTATATTGGGTACCCAGTTGAGGTTCTGGTTTCCTTCAGGTGTCTTGATGTCTTCAAGATATCCAAAATATTCCAACTGAAAGGTTTCGCTTCCTTCATCCGTTCGCCTGCAACATGGTCCGGGTGGCGTTGTTCTCCTCTGCGTTCCGGGCAAAGGGCCTTAAGACGAGCTCCGCCAGGCCGAGGCATTCGGCGCCACGGCTGGGGGTGCTTGGAGCATATATCGAAAAAAACATACATGCACCATATGGCTAAGGAACATGGACGCAGATCCATTGAGCCACGATTTTGAGACATATATCATCATAGTTCATATATGTTCATAATGAAATATGCTTCAGTCACCATTCGGTCAACGTTGGGGTATATGATCGGTGACCATGGTATATGTCTCAGATGTTCTGAGTGGATACCTTGAAGTTGCACCTGTCCCGCACCCTGGTCTCAGTGGATGATGACGGTTAGATGGGCCTGATTCCAGAATACTGGCAGCAACTGAAAGAGCTTTATTATGTTAAGGTTGATGTTTAATGCAGCTGCTGCTCATTGAACATGTTTGCCTCAAGAAACCTGTACATTGAAAAGGCAATGATCTCCTGGATCCTAAGCCTGACTAGGCCTCTTTGAGCCCCATCACCCTAAGCTTGTCTTCATCTTTCAATCCAAAATTTCTGGCTCATGCAAGTTGACCTAACCTAAATGCCAAAACAATAGAAGTGCCCAGGGGGAAGAGATTTGCTGATCCCTCTGTCAGGCACGACCTCCAAGATACAGCCATGTTTAGCAACAGAAATGGATTCTATAAAGAGGTGCATCATTTCCTACACCAAATGATATATGCTGTCATGACTGCTGTCATGATTTCATTTTGTGAGACTGTCAATCTGCTTGAAGGGCAGCTATACTATGCTATACTCACTATGCTTTCCGGGCCCGCCCTCCCGCCTGATGGGGTGATCCGATCGCCTGGACAGAAACCAAAGACAGGGAGACCATGGGACGCCTGAGACAAGGAATTGGGTTTCGTTGGGTTTCATGTTCCACACTTCGTTCGATTTGAGGAGTTGTGTTGTGTGTGTGGTTTTTTTGTGTTTTTTTGTTCCCGAAGAAAGCAGGATGGCATGTTGTTTCGCGCCGTGATATTGTCACGATCTTGTTTATTCAAGAGGGGCTGGGACAGATTTCTGATATCCTGCAGCACGGGCAGCTTGGACACATACAAGTGGCGCGAACTCCACTTTCTGATCAGCCTCACTCATGGCAAGTCCTTTATCAATAATTACAGACTCTGAAAGCAATGTTTGAACCGGGTAGGTAAAGATCCTGCGTACGCTCTGCCCGATCTGTAGATGTTGACACGTGAGCCGCAGGGCGACCATCTGTGAGAACATTGTGAGAAATGCGTTAGATCCGTGGTCTGTGGTGATGCCTGAAGAGATTTCAAAGCTCTTTGGATCTTTTTGGTAGGGATTCACTGAGCGATCTATTCCCAGGGTCATTCAAACGCTAAAGTGACCTTCACAAATGATCACAAGGGTGGGATTGGATTCACTTTTTGATCTAGGGTTGTTTCACCAGCCTCACGAGCTGCCAGTCAATCATCTCTATTGGCGTTTTTTCACACGAAACCACAAAAAGCCGCTGCCTCCAACTGATGCAAACCTGCTCCTGTCACGCGACGCGCCGAGATCCATCTGAAGGTCCGACATGGTCTGACACAAAAGGCAACATGTAGGGTGTCGATGTTGGTTTTCTCTGCGCTTTTGTAATATTGAGAGCCACCAGCGGTGACCTGTACAGACACAGCCGAAGTCAGTAAGTCTGCAAGAATCTCGGCGACTAAACATATCATGTCCAAGCGTGCAGGCTGTGGCTCGGTTCTGCGAACGGATCCGAAGACTGGAATCATCTGATCTGTAGGTAGCCATTCAGCGCCTCAGTTTCCTTGGCGTACTAGGAACAAGAAGCTACTAGTAACAAGAGCATCGCTACTAGGAACAAAAAGCATTGTGTACTAATATGTATACTACTAAGTAGAATTCTTGCTACTAGGAACAAGAAGGATTTTAGTTTCCTTGGCGTCACTTGTGATGCGCGTCAGGTGGTCTCTCTGGTCGGAAGTCACCCCAACTCGGTCGCCCCATCCTTCGCAGGGGCGCTGTGGTAGCCGAAGGAGTTGTCCCACATCTTGAAGCGGATCACCTGTAAAGCCACAGGTAGCTTCGAATGACACAGCGGATCACATTTATGAAGCTTCACAAAGAGACACGAGGAGATCCTCCGAATGCCGTATACACCTTTCAGTTTCGGCCGTGCGGCAGTGGCCACTGGACTGCAGCGGGCTCCTCTTTGAGGTCTTTCATTTGGAAAGCAACAAGGGAAGGGTCGGGAAGGGTCTCAGGTCCTCAAGACTTGAAAGCTCTACAGATTGGTGCTGCCATGTGCTGCCCAGCGGAACCATCGTTTTGGAGCCCAATTTGGCACCAAGCAAAGCTATGCCGCCAGGGTGAACCTGACTCCCTCACTTTCGGAAGATGAAGGTTCACCGAACTGAAGACCTGTTCTTGTTGAGTGGGAAAACCAACCCCAAAGTGTTATCCATTCCATTCATTGAGCAGGTTTGGATTTCTTCGGACATTGGACGAGTTGCCTCTTCTAGGGAGGTTCTTTCCAAACCTCCTAACACAGGGCCCCTGGGCTTCCACCGAGAGATCAGTTGCAAGAGAATCGGGTTGCAACTTCTACCTTTGCTGAAACTCTCAGACATGGAAGCGCCTGT